TATGAAATAGTGTATTTGTATTTCATGGTTCCCAGGACTCACCTTGCCAATGAAAAAGGTCTTTTGCATTTGTGTGTGTGTGTGTGTGTGTGTGAGAGAGAGAGAGAGAGAGAGAGAGAGAGAGAGAGAGAGAGAGAGAGGGAGGGAGAGGGAGAGAGAGAGAGAGAGAGAGAGAGAGAGAGAGAGAGAGAGAGAGAGAGAGAACAGCAGGAGGAATGCCAGTAGAGAGAGAGAACACAGAATAAATAGCCTGTGTAAGTATACCTGAATGAGTGGGTTTGCTTGTTAAAGACACATTTGGTAGATTAGTAAGTGATGCTTCCATCCTTTGTGTGAGGCTGTATGTGTCAGTGGGTGCTCGCATATAAAAGTCTCCCTGGGTGTAAGTCCAGGCGGGGCGGCTTCTCCAGCGTTGATCACTGCTATCTATTCCCTCTGTCGCTTTCCACCCCTCTGGCACGGCCCATGGAAACAAGATGGTCTATGTGCCTGGAATGAACAGCCTTCTCCCGCTCTGAAAGGCAGCCGAGGTCCGCGGCACATTACATCCTCCCGGGTAATGGAAGGACCCGCACGCGGGCCATCGCTGTCTGCGGCGTAATGAGCCGAGCGGGAGGTAATGAGAAGTGACTGTCACGCCGTCTCCGGGGCCCGCTCCTCCCGCCGCGCAATTACACGGTGACCCTAGAGGGAGACGGAGAAGGAGGAGGCCACACTCCCCCGCTTCCTGCGGGCCTGACAATCAGCCCCAGATCACCAGCAGGAGCTGACAGGCAGCGGGCTCATCTGACAGCCCAGAGGGCGTGCGTGCGAGGAGGTACGTGATGATAATGCGGGAGGCGCTCTCCGCAGCCACAGGCTGTTTTCCGGGCGGGCTTGGCCCGGTGCCTGGAAGAGGCCAGCAGACCAGGACGGTCCTCTCCGGCTCCCCCCTGGCCGATGCTTCGGGGTGAGAACCCGAGGGTCCAGGGAGCGCGCTGGTGGGCAGAGCCAGCTTTAGAGGAAGGCCCGGGCGGCTGTCCCCCAGAAGCTCTAAGTGATGGAAGTAACAGCTCCCGGACGCCCGGTCTCCCCAGTCCTGTTTCGGAGTTTCCTTTCACAGAGAATGTTCATGATAGGGACCATTTCCACAGGCTTTCTTCTAGTGTTGAAAGGGACATGGTCGGGCTGCAGAAAAGGGAAGGGGTTGCCCGCAGAGTCAACTTTCATTGATGACTGACTGATTGATTGATTGATTGATTGATTTTTAAATATATTTTATTGATTTTTTTTTTTACAGAGAGGAAGCGAGAGGGATAGAGAGCTAGAAACATCCATCAGCTGCCTCCTGCACACCCCCTACTAGGGATGTGCCCACAACCAATGTACATGCCCTTGACCAGACTCGAACCCAGGACCTTTCAGTCCACAGGCCGAGGCTCCATCCACTGAGCCAAACCGGTTTCGGCTCATTGATTTATTTTTAAAATATCTTTTATTGCTTTCAGAGAGAAAGGGAGAAGGAGAGAGAGACAGAAGGAGAGAGAGAATCATTGATTGGCTGCCTCCTGCATGATCAGGAATGGAGCCCGCACTTAGGCAGGTGCTGGGGCCGGAGTCCAGCCGTGACCTTCGGGTTCACAGGTCCACCTCAACCACCGGGCCCCCACTGCCGGGCCAGCGTCCGCTTTCGGAGAGAGAGCATACAGAAGGAGCAAAAAGGCGGAAGCCTCTGAGAATTCTTCTCATTGTCTTCATGTTGCTGTGATAGCTGAGGCCGGCCCATGCTCTGAGGGAAGCCTGGCAATGGTGAACGGGCACGAGCTGGGCTGCTGGGTTGCTTGGCACCGAGAGAGAGAGAGAGAGAGAGAGAGAGAGAGAGAGAGAGAGAGAGAGAGAGAGAGAGAGAGAGAGAGAGAGAGAGAGGGAGAGAGAGAGAGAGAATTGCAGCGCAGGCCGCCTGCTGGCAGGGCCACCCCATTTTCCACTCCTCTGCGCCTCGTTGCGGAAAGCCCCCAGGTGGCATTAGGGAGAATTAGCGTGTAAATCGTGCAAATCGCAGGGCCTGCTAATTCCTCACCACTTCATTAGCTGACAGTTCAAGGAAAGCGCCCTCCTGCCATTCACCTCCCGACCGGGTGCTGGCACGTCTCATCAGCGGAAGCAGAGTTCAGCCGTGTGGCGCTGACATGCTGGTGACTTCTGCTTCTCCCCATCATGCGTGCTGGTTTATTCCCTGACCCTCTCCTGGCAATTAATTACCTACTGGAGGTCCCTGGGACTTCTCCCTGAAATCTCTAGGTTCAGACTGGGTTTAGTGTCACCAGGAAAAGGTGGAAAATGATCCTGTCCTTTTTTAGAATGGGTCCAAAGATGTGCCATGGAGAGGAAACATAAAATAGTACCCTCTATTTAAAGGACACTCTTTTACAACATTACTACTAGCTCATATGTTTTGAACGCTTACTATGTGCCAGGCATTATTCTAAGTACTTTATAGGTCACTAGTGGTGCATGAAAATTCATGCATGGTGGGGTTGTCCCTCAGCCTAGCCTGTACTCTCTCCTTTCTGGGACATCCCTCTCACAATCCGGGACTGCTAGCTCCTAACTGCTCACCTGCCTGACTGCCTCATCAGCCCTAACCACTCTGCCGGCTGGCCTGCTCACTCCCAACTGCCCTCCCCCCTTTGCTGGCCTGCTTGTCCACAACTGCTGCCTTCTCTGCTGGCCTTCTCACCCCCAACCGCCCCCCTTCCCCCCGCCAGCCTGCTTGTCCCCAACTGCCCCCCTTGCTGACCTGATCACCCCCAATTGGCCCCCATGCTGGCTTGCTTGCACCCAATTGCCCTTCCCTCCTGGCCTGATTATCCTTAACCACCTCTGCCTCGGCCCCACTACCTTGGCTTTGACCGGAAGGATGTCGGTAGGTCTCCTGGTCTAATTAGCATATTACTCCATTATTAGATTATTAGTATAGATTATATACTCACTAGAGGCAGGGTGGGAGGTGTTCCTTAGCCCAGCCTGTGCCCTCTTGCAATCTGGAACCCCCAGGGTAGGGTCCCTAGGCCTGGCCAGTGATCAGGGTCTATCAGGGCTTTCCTTCCCCTGGCTGCTGGCAGCTGGCCCTGCCCCCGCCACTGCCACTGCTTGCCATCTGTAACCTAGGCCTCCCTCTGTGGGTCCATGGGGGGGCGATTGGCAGATTATGCTTTTATTATTACAGATTTGTATTTGATACAGGAGGAAACTGAGGCACAGAGAGGTTGAGTTTGTTGCTTAGGACACACAGTATTTGAATACATGAAGCCTGGATCCAGAGCCCACACTCTTAAGTACTAGGGTATTTTGCCATAATTAGTCAGTCACTTACTTAATTCCTGGATTAACTGAGCAAAAATTAATGAAGCACCAACTATGTGTTACTTAATATGCCAGAGCTTAGCCTATTAGAGTTTAGCTGCCCATCCTTTTATTTCAATTTCCATGTCCGAAGGCAGTGTGGAGCACCCACTGTGTTTCCATGGTTGTGCTCATGTAGATACAAGAGAAGTGTGGGGTGTGATCTTGCCATTGAGAAATGTACAGACATGTAGACCAAGGGCTGACAAACTTTCCTCTGTAAATGGTCAGATAGTAAATATTGTTGGCAATGAAGGTCACATGGTCTGAGTCCCAATAAATGTAAAAGCAGCTTTAGCCACTATGTAAGTAAATGAGCAATGTGTGTTCTAATACAACTGCAGAAATAAGCAGCGGGCCATATTGGGCCCATGGGCTTCCTGATAAAGGGGCCCTAAGAGAAGAATGTAGAACAGTCAGCAGTGATAATGTGACTGAAAGCAGAGCTCTGTGGGTACTACCTGTCTGGCAGGTGAGGTGCACAGATGTAGCAAAGGGTCAGGGAGCACAGAGACCAGTGTAGTGTGCATTTTAATTAAGAGGCAGATGGTTTTTGGAGATGGAGCCTGACCCTCCACTAAAGGATGGAAAGTATGCCACTCCCAGCTGTGAAGCTGTAAGGTGGCTTCATGAACCAGTTCATGGTTCTTATTACTATGGGTAACAGGCAAGTTGGTTGTCTTATTTCCCTCTTCCCTTCCTTCCTGGCTAATAGAATTCCACTTTTGTTTGGTACCTTGAGTTGCTCAGCTCCAAGCAATGCTGCATCACTGATTAAAGTTAATCTTAATAATTATATCCTCAAATTTTCCAGCTATATGACCTAGTTCTGATCAAAGTGCCTGCTGGGTGAAGTGGGGGTGGAATGATTGGGAAACTTTTAGCTTTTCTCATCAAAGGGACAGACAAAGTTCATGCCACATACGGCTCCTGTTTTCCTGTCACAATGGGAACATGAAGATGAGCGAGGGCAGCCTTTCTGGGGCGACTGTGTTGTAGATGGGGGCTGGGGGCAGAGAGAGGTAGCCACTGAGTAGCTGCGTGGTAGCTGGGCTGCCTGCCTCTGGCTTCTTTGTTAAGAGATAGCTACATCTATATATTTTTATCATGTTATTTGCAATAACTAAGCATATATATATATATATATATATATATATATATATATGCTTAGTTATTGCAAATAACATTTATTGCAAATAATATTGTTTCAAGCCACTCTTAGTTGATTAAAAAGCGTGTCTTTAAAATTGTTCCAGGAGAACTAACTAGAATTTACTTACTCCTAGAATTTTCCCATTTCCTTAGCTATATCAGAAAACAGTGCTAAATCTGATAAGAATTATTTCTAATAGTTTTCATCTTCTTGTTAAGTTCCTTCCCCACAATATACTAATTAAGAGAAAAAGAGCATATTGCACAAGCCCATTTTAAATTAATATCATTAAGTTAAACATCATTCACTTACACTCTTAATGTATATGTCTTTAAATCTGTATGACAAGGGGTCAATAGTGGTTGTGCCTGGGTTATTGATTTTCTGTAGGTGTCAGGATTAAGAGTGTGTTCTTTTGCTTTGCTTTATTTTTCTAATTATTATAGAGAAAATACACAAACAGAAAAAAAAAAAGTATAAAATGGCACTGACAAAAACTAAACTCATTTTATGTGAAGGCAAGCTTTTTTTCTGGATGACACTATTTTCCTCTCATTTCTCCCTTTGGTTTTCTAATCTCACTTCTTACAATTTTTTTTCTTTTTACCATATTATTGGTTGTTTTTGTTGTTGTTGTTTGTTTCATAAATGTTATCTTTCTGTACATTTTGCTGTTAAGTGAGTTCCACAGTACGATGTTGTGAGTGTAAAGTTGGGTCACATGTTACTAAATGTCACCCGATTTTCTCTTATAGTCACTCATTCGTTTAATAGATGTTGTAGTGTGGCTGTTATGCACCAGCCTCTGTTCTGTGTGTGACAGAATGAGGAGGAACAAGCATTTGGAGCTGTGTACTCCTCCTTGCTTTGGGCTGTCACATATCACTCATTCTGTAAGGCCAGTATAAATGCTGCCTCCCCCAGGAAATCTGAAGTGACCCACTCATTGAGGATTAACTTACCCTTCTACATTTCCATCAAGCTATTGTTTCTACCAGTCTTTGCTTATTTTTGTATTGGTGGCACATTAGGTTTATTGGTGTGCATCCTTGTCTGGGCTGTGAATTCCTTTAGAAGAGCTGCTGTGTCATTTTGGCTTTTCCTAGATCTGTGTTGCTTCTTTAAACAAACATGCCTTTATCCACAGTAAGGGTGACAGGCCACATAAATTACATGCTCAGATACATGCTCTCTGTGCAGAATGTCCTGAACTTGACCCATACATTGTCATATGTTAATCCTCAATTTTCCCAGATGCCAATAGGCACCAATGCCACTTGTCTCTCTGATCTTCTCTGTGTTCTTCAGGTAGGTTTCATCCCTGGTCTTTTCTAAAACTCAGCTGTGTCCCCTCCCGAACTTTCTTACTTCGCAGGGAGACTCAGGCCCTGCAGAGGGACCCTCAGACTGACTATATTTAACTCTTATTAAGCCCTTACTTAATAATGTATTTAATAAATAGGTGGATGATCAAGTGAATGTTCATAGAAAGCCCACACTTAAAAACTTGATGCTTTTAATAGCAAGTTTGGTGGGAAAGAAAATCAAAATACTATTGGCTGCAGGCGGTGTTTATGGAAGCGTGAGGAGGCACACAGATATGGTGGCACACAGGCCAGTGCTCTCCTGAGCACATGCTTGTTGGTGTGGTGACCCTCTTTAAGTGAGTGAGAAAGAAAAAAAAAAAACACAACTTTTTTTCTAATCGAGTTAGATCAGGAAATTGTGGCAATTTTTGGAATGTCAAGAGTAAAAATAAGAAAGAAAGAATTAATCCTGTTAGCCCCAAAAGGGAAGCTGTCACCACCAAAGCTGTAACTCTCTAAATGAATGTAACACCTCTGAAAACTCCTACCACTGTGCCAAGTGTTTACATGTTCTCTGCGAATGTGGCGTCAAGCAGCAAGTGGTTTTGGTGGAGAAGCACACCATCTGCGTGATCACCCACCCTTGCTAGAGTGCTCTGAACTCAGCATCTCCATCTACAGCACTCCTCCTCGCATGGTTCAGAATGGGTGTGAGGAAGTGAGGGAAAACAACCAGCTTCCTTGAAACTCAGACTCCATCTGACATCTTTCCAGACACCTTTCTTAACCACATTTAGTGCAGTCCTGGAAGGTAACCTGTTCACAATAGGTTTACAAATAGTTAAACAGGATGGCCTGACCTAGAACATCAGCGGCTGCCTTCACCATCACTCAGTCTGGAAGGGGGAACCAGATCATCATTTGGTTCGCATTTAAATGAAAGTCTGTGTAGTTGTGGGAGAAACAAGTCCACAGAAGTTATATGTGTGCCCTCCAGGCAGATGAACGAAAATGGTTTTACTAAATACTTCATTGTTAGTATCGTAGATGTGTCTCTTTGGAAAAATAACACTAAATAATTTTGATGAAAATACAAAATCAAGAATGAAAGACTGTATTCCATCCTGTGCTTTATATTTTGCTTATTTAAATATTCCACAGATGCCCTTGCTAGTTAGGCTCAGTGGATAGACTGACTGAAAGGTCCTGGGTTCAATTCTGGGCTAACGGCACATATCCGGGTTGCAGGCTCGATCCTCAGAAGGGGATATGCAGGAGGCAGCCAATCAATGATTCTCTCATCATTGATGTTTCTATCTCTCTCTCCCTCTCCTTTCCTCTCTGAAATCAATAAAAATATATACTAAAAATATTCCACAGGCATTCACACAGGTATTTTATTTGAGGATAAGTTCATCCTAATTTCAGAAATGAAATCTAAAGTTTCACTCATCTAAATGTACATATCAGTAAAGGCTGTCACCCCTTATGAATCATGTCCTCACTTGCCTGCAATTGATGCGGTGACATCATGTCCTTTTGGGCTGCTCAGAAGCCATGTTGGGTGAGGAAGGGACATTCCTTACATAAGTGGGGCAGCTTTTCCCACTTTGCCCCCAGGCCTATCTTGCACTTTTCCTGTCTGGAAGGTAGAGCAATGTCAGTGTTGAAAAAAAGCACACTCCAGGAATGAAGTGATGGTAACTAAAGAATTTGAGAAGTGGTGGGTGTAAGATGTGTCATTCTACATTTATGTGATAAATTCAAAACAGCTCTTTAATACAATCAGAAAATGAGTTGTCATTAATATTTTCCTGCAAACTCGGGGTAAGGCTTGCCACCATCATGAAGCACAGTGACAACCTTTGAGAGAGTCATTAGACACTGGTATTCCTGGGTGGCTTGCTGGCTCAGGAAGCCATGCTAGTGATGCAACCAGTGTTACAGAAATTAGGTTGGGGAACTGCAGAGGCAAGAAGATCTATATCATATCAATACAAACATACTCCAAGGAGTTTTGGCATTCTGAATCTTGACAGCATAGCTATTCCCCCCCCCCCCCCCATCTCCCCTCAGTGGGAAAACAAAAACAAAGCAAAACAAAAATCCGTAATTATTTTTACCCTTCAATTAGGTCAGGAACTGTCAACAACTTTTGGAATATCAGTACTAAAAATGAGAAATACAGAATTAATCCCGCTAACACAACATAAAGCACGATTGCCATGGAAAGATAATGACAACGTAGTTACCAGCCCTGAACAGGAAGAGGGGGCACCTGGACACTGGGAAGAATCTTCACCTGCCTGGATTGGATAGTAAATCAGTCCACCTTCTCCACTTAGGATTTTAAATCTTCTTCGACAGATCACTATACCTCATGTGGGCCCATGTATTATTAATGCATGCTATTTATCTATTTATTTTATTTGTGAGTTTATTTTATTTTTTATTTAAAAATTGGGGTAACATTGGTTAAGAAGGTTAGTTTTTCAGGATCAGATTCTGATCCATAATCTTTATATTGCATTGTGTACCCACCAACCAAAGTCAAATCATTTTCCGTTGCCATATATTTTGCCACCTTTACCCTTTATTCCTCCTACACCCCCCTCCCTTTGATGACCACTATACTGTTGTTTGTGTCTGAGTTTCAGTCTTATATCACATATGAGTGAAATCCTATGGTTCTTAGTTTTCACTGACTGACTCATTTCACTTAGCATAATATTCTCAAGGTCCATCCATGTTTTTGCAAACAGCAGTATTTCATATTTTCTTATGGCTTTGTAGTAATCCATAGTATCTATGTACCACATCTTTTTTAAATTATTCATTGTTTTTTGCTTTTATTTTTTAAAATCTTTATTGTTGGAAGTATTACACAGGTCTTCTTTTTCCCCCTTTAACCTCTTCCAGCCTGCTCCCGTTTTCCCTCGCCCCCAGGCCCTTACCACCCCATTGTCTGTGTCCATGTGTTATGCATATATGCACTCAAGTTCATTGGTTAATCTCTTCCCACCCACCCTCCCCTGCTGTACCACTTCTTCTTTATCCAATCTTCTACCAAAGGACACTTTCTATGTCTTAATTACTATGAATAATACTGCAGTGAACACAGAAGTTCACATATCTTTATGAATAAATGTTTTCAAAGTTTTTGGGTAGATACCCATAAGAAAGATTGCTGGGTCGTATGGTAACTCTAGTCTTAATTTTTTGAGGAACCTCCATACTGAACCAGGAATGAATGAGAGTTCCTTCCCCCCCCCCCCCCCCCCCCCCCCCCCCCCCCGCCCAATCTCTCTAACACTTGTTATTGCTTGTCTTGTTGATGATAACCATTCTAACAGGTGTGAGTCTGTGAGACCTTGGTCTTAGAGGAGATTTTATAAATTTGACCTCAAAGGCAAGGGAAGCAAATGCAAAAATAAATGGATGGGATTAAATTAAATTAAATTAAAAAGCTACTGTAAGTGAAATAAACCACTAACAAAACCAAAAGGTAACCAACCAAATAGGAGGTGATATTGGCAAACAACACCTCTGACAAGGGGTTAATAAGAAAAAAATATAAAGAAGTCATACAACTCAAAACCAAACAAACAACCCAATTTATACAAGGGCAAGAGGTTCTGAACAGACACTTTTCCCAAGTAAACATACAAATGGCCAACAGATATATGAAAAGATGCTCAACTTCAATAGCTAATACTAAAATTTTAATGCATTTTTAAACCAAATTGTTTATATCGACAGAGGATCTGCAAAAAAAAAATTAAAATGAATAAATAAATAAATAAGTAAATCTGCCAAAGACCCCATACTCTCAAGAGATTGCCCTGACCTGGAGAACCAGATGGACTTTGAACAGTATTTGATAGTCTATACATAAATATTGAAAGGATGTTTAACAATCAGATTTTATTTCAGAATTATAATATGCAAAGAGACCAAGTAGGATGAATTAGTGGGTGTACAAGGAAAGATCATAGCTTGGAAGGGTAGGAGACCAATGCAATTGTCCATTTGAGGGCTGACCCATAGTGTAAGTAAAGGGACTGACATTTCAAACTTAAAGCAAAATGAGCATGTTTATGTGGTTAACAGATTAGTGCCATCTGAAGAATAAAGAGGGTTTTTTTGTTTGTTTGTTTTTTTGAGGGGAGAAATGCATTTAGGATTTTATGCTTTGGAACACTGGTTATTTAACTTGAATTTTAAGAATGATGACACCAGTGGAAAGTCTTAATACTGCTTGCACTGAAATTTCAAGGTCTTTTGGCTGCAATTTCTCAGAAACATTACTTCAATCTTTGATTAATCAGAAAGTTTACTTAGACATTCATCAGAGTTCTCTGAACCTGCCTTTATGCAAGCATTTTCAAATCAGTTAAATTAGTTTCCCAAAGCAAGTAGGAGAGAAAAGGTCTGGCTTTTCTTCCTCTTTTATCTACAGCACACCATTGACAGCTAACAGATAACTCTTGGTAAAAAAAGAAGAAATATATATATATATATATATATATATATATATATATATAATTTCAAGACAGTTTTGATGTCTCTGGCTTGTTTTCAGGTAACACTCCTTTACTCTTGTACTCCTTAAAATGGAAACAGGCCCAATCAATACTCATATGTGGACAAAGAAACATTGCTAAGAGTAAAAGAAAGATACCTTACATTGTGTGTGTGTGTGTGTGTGTGTGTGTGTGCCCATTGCCCCAGTTTCTCATCAAATGGAAGGTGCTGACATTGGTACACAGTTCAATATAAAGCAAGGGCATGGAGGATAAAAGTGATTATTGGTGGTTATCAAAATTTGACTAATAGTTGTGCTGTTGTGGTAAAGGTCTCAACTATCCTGGTAAAGATTCTCATATAATGCTTGTTTTCTTAACCATGCTGTGGGTTTTCATACATGATGACTGATTTGGTGAAACTCTGTGAAGTACCACAAGCTAATTACCATGACAGAAAAATGTCAGTAAAAATATTCTACTCAAAAAGAGTCACAATATATTGGGTTACTTTGGTTTTTTAAAATTTATAGACTGGTATATTAAAGTTAAAGTTTTGATGTAACTAGTATTATATAAATTAGGTTGGGGAACTGCAGAGGCAAGAAGACCTATATCGTATCAATACAAAATAGATAAATAACACACATTAAGAATATAATAAATGGGCCCACATTCTTCTTTGGGAAGAATTCATAATAATAATAAACTGCATAACTTTTTTGAAAGTATATAAAAACTTCTTCCCAGTACTTTTCTCATTACATGTCCATTACATGGTTATTAAAATAATAACACTATGATGATAAGGAAACCAAAGCATAGAATTTAAGTAATTTTTATACAGTTAGTTAATGGCAAAAGCAGAAATAGTAAGTAAACCCTCCAGAGCCTTTCTACTAGATGACACTTTTTTTTGTATTAATGCTGATTCTCATTTCAACTTTAAAAAATTCATATGTAGTAGATCACATTTAACAGACAAAAAAAATCAAAATAAATTGATGTAAATGAAGTAACCCCCCTCCCCCAAAATTTAGTCATCCTACTGTTTAAATTCTATAATTACTAAGAACAAAACGTTTGTGTGTGTTCTATTCACTGTTTCCCTTTCTGTTCTTTAAAAAAATGTTTTATATTACAGATGTTCTCATTTCCCCCCTTTGCCCACCTCTACCCAGACCTCACACCCTCCTCCTTCAATCTTCTCTCTAGCCAACACCACTTGTCTGTGTCTATGCATATATGTTCTTTGGCTAATCCCTTCACCTTCTTTAATCTATTCACCCTCACCCCTCTTCCATCTAACCTCTGTCAGGCTATTCCTTGTATCCATGCCTCTGTTTCTATTTTGTTCATCATTTTATTTTGTTCTTTAGATTTCACATACAAGTGAAATCATATGGTATTTGTATTTCTTGGACTGGTTTGTTTCACTTAGCATAATAATATCTAGGTCCATCCATGTTGTTGCAAAAGGTAAGAGTTCCTTTTTTTTTTTTTTTTTTTTTTCCACAGCCTTGTTGTATTACATTGTATAAATGTACCACCGCTTTTTTATCCACTCATCTACTGATGGGCATTTTGGCTGTTTCTAGATTTTGGCTATCCTATATAATAAATAGGCAATATGCAAATTGACTGTCATTCCAGCACACAAGATGGCCACCCCAAGATGGCTGGCAGGGGAGGGCAGTTGGGAAGGACCAGGCCTGCAGGAGAGGGCAGTTGGGAGTGACTAAGCCTGAAGGGAAGGGCGGTTGGGGTGGAGGGGGGGTGAGGGGGGACCAAGCCTGTAGGGTAAAATCATTGGGAAGGACAAGGCCTGCAGAAGAGGTCAGTTGGGGATCACCAGGTGAGCAGGGGAGGGCAGTTAGTGGTGATCAGGCTGTCAAGGGAGGGCAGTTAGGGGAGACTGGGCTGGCAGGGGGACAGTTAGGCATCGATCCAACTGGCAGGGGAGTGGTTAGGGGTGATCAGGCTGGCAGGAAGAAACAGTAAGGGGCAATCAGGCAGGCAGGCAGGCAGGCAGGCAAGCAGTTGGGAGCTAGCAGTCCTGGATTGTGAGAGGGATCTCAGTTTGGAGAGGGTACAGGCTGGGCTGAGGGACACCCCCGCCCCCCATGCACAAATTTCGTACACAGGGCCTCTAGTTATTGCATAAAAAGTAACTATCACAAGAAACCACTGAATGCTAGAACACTGCAGATCAGGATGCACTCAAAATTAACCCATAAGCTATACCAATAAAATATAAAAAATTATAATTCTCTAGAAATGTGGAGAACTAAAAATTTCCCACCATATCAGAACCTTTAAGTCCACTTGAGTTTATCATATAAGTATATTCCCATGTTAATATCTTTTTTAGAAAAGTGAAAGTTTGGTTGTGCTATTTTTCTATTCCCTCTCAATCAGTACTTGGCTTAATCTTCAGTTTTCAGCATTTGTTTTATTGTAATAAAATATAATATATTGTTTACCTACCCATAAAGTCATTGACCAAAGAGTTCTTTAGAGCAGTGTTTCCCAACCTTCTCTCATGATGAGAATCACCTGGTGGAGTTGTTAAAAACACAGATTCCTGAATCCCAACTAAGAAGTGCTAAACTAGAATTTTTGGGAACATATATTAGGTCTAGTAATAATTAATGTCGTTTTCTAATACTTTTTTAAATCGAATTTATTTAAACAATACAACAAAATTTAATCAACAATATAGTTGCCGTTGTTTTCTACTACTTGTGCCCAACGCTCAGGAAGCATTTTAATCCTTCTGTTGTAAAATTCTTGTGATTTTGCTGCAAAAAATTTGGTCAATGCATTTTTGAGGCATTCTTTATTATTAAATTTTTTTCCAAGAAGAAAGTTTTGCAAAGAACGAAACAAATGGTAATTGGAAGGGGCAATATCAGGAGAATATGCAGGTTGAGGGAGAACTTCCCATTCCAACTGGCGCAGTTTTTCAGCAGTGATTCTTGCAGTATGCGGTCGTGCGTTACCATGGTGAAGAATTACGCCCTTCCGATTAATAAGCGTGGGTTCTTTTTCTCTTAAAGCTTGGGCTAACCTTTCCAATTGGGCACTACACACTGCACTTGTAATGGTTTGGTTAGATGGTAAAAGTTCATAATGAAGAATTCCTTTAAAATTCCACCAAACACACAACATCACTTTTTTCGCATGCAAGTCAGGTTTTGGCATGGGCTGTGGAGCCTCATTTTTGTCCAACCATTGAGGCCGCCTTTTCACATTAACATACAGCACCCATTGTTCATCTCCGGTAACAATTTGCTCTAAAAACGGCAAACGAGCCGGGACCGGTTTGGCTCAATGGATAGAGCGTCGGCTTGGGGACTGAAGGGTCCCGGGTTCGATTCCGGTCAAGGGCATGTACCTTGGTTGCGGGCATATCCCCAGTAGGGGGTGTGCAGGAGGCAGCTGATCGATGACTCTCTCTCATCGATGTTTCTAACTCTCTATCTCTCTCCCTTCCTCTCTGTATAAAATCAATAAAATATATTTAAAAAAAAAACAAAAAAAAAAAAACGGCAAACGGTTTTGACGAGAGAGGAGCAAACTGCAAATTGTGACTCTTTGATTGCGGTTGTTGTTGGTCAACTCATGAGGAACCCATTTTCCAAACTTTTGGACTTTGCCAAGTGCACGCAATTGATTGGAAATTGTTTTTTGTGAACAATTTAAAGTTGTCGCAAGCTCTTGTTGGGTAATTTGAGGATTTTGCACCAAAAGAGTTTGAAGAGCTTCTTGATCAAAATTGGACACACGGCCTCCACCACTCTTGTCATCTAACGAAAAATTTCCCTCGCGAAATTTCTCAAACCAACGCTGGCATTTTCTGGCGCTAACTGCATCTTGACCAAGAGCACTACAGATGTTTTTTGCAGCCTCACTTGCTTTTCTTCCTAATTGGAACTCGTAAAGCATGCAGTGCCGAATATGCTCTTCATCCGCCATCTTCTTAGCCCTAGTTTTGCAACAAAAACCAAACCAAACACAAACTTTTTCAAGCAAAACTTGTTAATTGCACTTCACACGTTCTGTAGATACCACGTGTTTGAAGGTTATGTCAATACAAGTCAACGCCAAGCAAGATTTTAAACGAATGTTAAAAACGACATTAATTATTACTAGACCCGATAGGTAAAATTGTATACTTAACTAGTGCTCTAAGACA